TTAGATTTGATTATTAATTGTTTTCAAGTTCTTAACCATTATGGTTCTCTGGTAAAAAAATTGTTCGAATAACTAGATGTAGTAATTGATTTGAATTGACTGAAGTATTCTTCTTGTCTTATTCTTTGTTGAAAGTGTGATGTCTTTTTAGACCAAGTACTAGAACTAGATCCTTCAGATATTACTGTGTTAGGTTGACTAGAAGGATAATGTGATTAAGGAGGAGCTAATAAATTTGTTTTGATTAATGATACTCCTGGTTTTTCTTTTGGAGTACTTGATTCAGTTTTTATAGCAGTGTCTTGAATATCTATTTCTTCTAACAATTCTACAACAGTAGAAAAAGGTTTGGGTTTAATTTCCAGTCAGGTGTGTTTTGGAATTGTAGGAGATTTAGTTGTTGATTTAGTTTTTACAGTAGCTGATAAAATATTATTAGGCTCATCAGCCTTTGGGAACTGTGTATTAGAATCTTGTGGTGACGTCACAATGGAAAGTGGTTGTGATATAAAGATAGTTTGCGAGAAATCTTCTGATATACTAGAAGCTAATTGCTTCAATTATTTTGTAACGTGAGTAATAAAGGATTCAGTGGGAGGTATTTTCTTACTCAAAACTGTAAATTATTTATTTATTTAAGGTACTTATAAAATATTAATTTATGAGAGTAAAATTTTCTTTTAATTAGTTTAGGTCACTTAAAATTTGATAGCAATTGTCTTGAATTCGAAAAAGTAAATTATATTGGTCTTTGATTTTGCATAATTCTAAAAAGTGTTCTAATTTCCACATGGATTCCTCTAATTCAGATGTTTGATCGACTATATATTTTATCTTTTGTTGATAAAGTTCTGTGATTTCCTTGATGATTTTATTAAGTTTTTGAATTTATTCGGTATTGATAATAGAAGAAATTTACTAATACTAAAAGGGGTAGTAGATTTTTAAACTAGAAAGAAATTATTCTAAAAGAAAATTATTTTATTAAAAAGGTAAAAGAGGTTACTAAATTTATTAAGGGATTATCAATTTTTATTACGTTTCTACTAGAAGGTATCAAATTGTTACTAGTTGACCTTTTGAGTTAAATTTATTTTCCAAAAGGTAATTTACAACTAGCAACTCGTAAATAGTTACTTTAGTTTATGAATTGAAGAGGATAATTGAAGAAAACTAAAAGAAATATTAAAGTTAAATACTAAAAACTAATTAAAGAGCTTAAGATTTAGGATCACAGGATTTAACTATTGACTAATAATTAATTTTTAAAGGTCGAGTTAAGAAATTAAGACAAAGAATTAAATATATTTATCAATAGTTTATAAAATAGTAACCAATATTTATGGATTAGAATTTATATTTGAAAAATATAAATTAACAAAAAGAACAGAGTTTTAATATAAAAGATATAAGTTTATTACGAAGAAAATCAATAATTCAATTACTTTAGAATTATGAAAAAATTACAGTTAAGATTACTTTCTAAATTTCACCATTTAGAATTATTTGAATCTTATTCAAAAACTATTTGAATTTCCTTTGGGGTGAAGAAAAAAATTCACCTTTTTTATAATATTTGATTTGGCCAATAAGTTGATCAGTAAGTTGGCCAAATCTTGATCAGTAATTGTACCAATCAGTTGACACTAAATTGGTCAGTGAATTGGCCAGTAACTGGGCCACTATGATCTACCTTATTGATTTACATAATTTGTATTACACTGCTAAATAAATAAATCCTAATAACTAAATATACTAAATATACTAAAATAACTATACTAATAAAATAAATACAAATAAGAATAAAATAAAATAAAATAATAAGAATTTATAAAAGTGGAAGAAACCCATGGTAACACCATATACAGTCTGGAAACCAAAACAGACATTATTCAAAAACTAATTGGAGAGGTGTATAGGGTTTCATGTAATTTCTTACTTTAAAAATTAGTTTTAATATTAGTGGATATAGATATTTATTTACTATTAATCTTCTATCTAAATTTTTTTTGTACAAATGTTAGTGTACAGTTCCCTAATCTATAGTTCCTTGATAAGTTAGTATTCCTTTCCAGTAACTTTTTACTCAGATTGGTCAAAAAGAGATAAGAGGAAGCATGACCATTAGTTGTTTTAGGTAACACTAGGGCAACGATGAGTTGGACTATTGTGTTATTAATTTAGCCATAACCAGTTGTATTAAATATATTTGTAATTTTTATAAATTTGTTTAATTTTTATCAACTGCAAAATAAATTGGTTAATAAAACATGACTCCGTTGAAATTAAAAAAAAAAAAATTTCAAATAAGTTACAAATTATTAAAATTCAAGATTATAAAATTGTAAACTAGAGAGGGATAAGGTAATTTTAGTTCCTTTTTATACTTAAATCTAATGATCTTCATTACTGTGCTACTACTGTGCCTTACTGTATATTGTTATATCTTACTGTACACTATTTCTATTGGTTACTATTAATTGATAATAGATATTAATAGTTATTGTTAAATAATGTTATGAATTGATAATTATATTTATATAATTAAATATCACGTGAATACATAATCTTGTGCTACTATTCTGAGACTAATTAATGTGTGTTATGGAATATAAATATTAGTTGAAAAAATTATTAAAATATCAATATTTGTTAATTAAGTTAATATTTACTAATTAAATTTTAAACACTACTATTTTTAAAAGTTGTTATTAATTATTTGCAAGTGTTTGGTATTGTAAACTATACTTTTTAATTATGATAATTTCATTCTATAATTCCATCGTTAAAATTTCAGACAAATGATTTGAATCTGAATCTTGAATACCATCAGTTATCATCTAGGTGATATTCTCTGTTCCTTTTTTCTTGTGCGATTGGGATGTTTTGTTCAGGTTTTTATTTTGACCATATCAGCTTTGCAGATTTTGATTCCAAAGCTTTTTTACAATTTTCAAGTTTAGAGATTCAGGTGTTGACATAATTGATATTTTAGATTATATCATTTGTATTAAGTTATTTATGTGATTCTTGAAGTTTTTTTACTTAGTTCTTCTTTCTTATTTCACTACTAATCTTTTTCTTGTGTATTATTTTTACAAAATCAAGAATAAAACTAAATCGTTACAGATAATATTTTTGTGGTAAAGAAGTTATAGATGTTTTAAACTCTGTTTAAGATTCAGGTTGAGTTGAGTTATATTCTATTTTAGGTAAGGGATTGGAGATAATACTTTTTTCCTTATAAGAATAGCTCTTTATAAGTGATGAAATATTTTTTGTAAAAGATACTTCCTGTTCATTAGTAATAACTTGGATCTGTTTCTGTTCCAATTTATAATTCTATTCTTAAGCTCAGTATTTTCTTTTGTGATCTGGCTTTGAGCTTAACATTCTCAACTTTGTATTTGATACTCTATTCTGTAACCTGTTTAAAGCTTAGTATTTTTGATCTCAAGCTCAACCTTTTTAGTTTCAAGTTCAGAAATTCATTGTTTTAATAAATCAACCTCAGATTGTATATTTTAGTAATAGATTTTATATATTTATTATTTATTTAAAATATATAACTAAAGTAATAAAAATAGTCTCTGGTTTGCATAATCTAGTGACTAGTGCACCAGAACTAAATTATAAGATCAACAAATCAATTCCAACTAATTACAATTAGTATGGATAATGATCTTTTTGTAATCCAAGGCTTGGTGGGTATTAACCAGTATTTTTGCTAAAAGAGGATTGTCTATATTCTTTCAGATGCCATGTATAAACATTCATTAACTGGTTATGTGAATTGAAATATATGAGCTCATACAAGATAGCTAGTACTTAGATTAATAGTTTAAAAGTCAAATTCACTTCTCAAAATGTTTGTTGTGTTGGCAATGAAGGAAAAGTGAATAAGGAGTATAAACTCTGCACTTTGTACTTAGTCATAATAACAATTATAACAGACAACCTAGTTACTACTAGGTGAAAAATATATAAATTTTCAAATTCTGTACCTTATAATTACAGAATTTTTGAATAGTAAAATTCACTAGACAGAATGTAATCTTGTAATGTAATATTACCCTTCCACAATGATATTTCAGTATAATATCTATTGGTTCACTGTGGTAATTCTGTTAGAGCACCAATAGGAGGTTGTAACTTGAAATTCTAAAGGATAATATTTCTGTTGGTCCAGTGTGGTTCACAAAAAAGGTGAAAAGTACTGATGTTGCAAAGTTGTAAACCAAGCAACTCACGAAAGAGCTCTGTAGAACACTTTGTATAATCAATTGAGAGTTGATTTCTATATATAAAAAAGTAATAAAAATTTTAGTGACAATCTGTCATTAAAAATTTCAATAAAAATTTTACAAATCATTTATTATAAAAAATTTTTGAATGATACATTGTAAAATCAGTTGACATCAATTTTTTGAATTTTTTTTTCTAAAACATGTATTTTTTAAATTGTTTAAATTAATTTTTTCATAAACTAGTGAATCTAAATGGCACATCAAATCACGATCTGACAATTTGAAACCAGAAGATGGGAAACTGAGAGGTAAAAAATTGGAAAATGGAGATTTAGGCAAAAGTTAATTTTTATTACTTTTTTTTTTTTATAAAGTATTATCTTTTAATGTTATATAAGTAGTGTTTTCTATAGTCGTAGTTTCTTTTATTGCTTAAATAGTTGACAATACATCAACTTATAACAAAATTAATTATTAATATTTGATAAAACATGTGTATATTTTTGATCCATACCTGCCAGTTTATCAAATCAACTATTTTCTTTACAAATTAATCAATTTATCAAAAGTTACAGATATTTTAATGTATGTAAACAATTGAAAAATATAAATGGACAGCAAAGTTAAATTAAATATATGATCTTAATTGAATCATCTATAAAAAATATACATGAATTATTTGACTTTTTTATTATATAACATTTAACAAATATATATGATAAAATACCTACTAGCAGTTTGAACTAAATAAATCTATGCTATATTCTTAGATGTTTTTTTCAATAGTTTATTTAAAACTCTTATCGAGTTTCTGTATAATTTAATTCCATCACCATTTATTTTTGATAAAGGTGCTTGTCTACCATATGAAAACTCAATTAAGACTATTGTTTGATTCTTTTGAATTGAATTGATTATCTTGATAAGTTCATCAATTTTGTGTTTTTTCATATTAAGGTAGTTAACTTGATTCTAATGTGATAAACAAAAATTAATACACAATAGCTTAATGTTTTGAATTAGAATTAATACTTACTATATGATATCAACTACATCCTATACCTGTCACCCAAATTCAAAATCCAAATGCCAAAATCCCAAATGCCGAAATTCCAAATCCCAAATCCCAAATTATGATAAGTATTTTTTGCCAAAATCCCAAATCCCAAATTCCAAATACTAGTAATTTGAAATTTTGGCATTCCAAATTCCAAATGATTTGAAATTTGGACAACACGTATACTACATCCTAATGCATATGGAATAATCTATTTATTATGTATATTACTATATCAATTGCATATGTTCTTTTATAATTAAGACCTTCAATCTTAAGTCTTAATGGTGCTTCAAGTCGCACAGAGCTATTTATAAGAAATATTTAAGTATTTTGTTAATGAATTGTAAATATTTCAAATAAGTACTTAAAAATGAGTTAGAACTTGTTGAGTAATATCTTGATCTTTATGATTATAGAAATTAAATATTTCAGATAAGACAAAAGATTTGTAAACCAGAATTGATATACTTTTTTTATTACTATTTTTTTTGAAAATTGGTTTATAAATTGTTGAAATTTATTTGATTGATTTCAGATTTTCTTTTTGAGAAACTTATATCCAATTATTTTAATTTTTGATTAATGATTTATCTATCTTTTTTTGTATTTTATCATTTGATAAATTAATGATATTATTAAGTGATATTGATGATAAATAATTTTTTCTTAATTTTTTATCTTTTCTTTGTTGTGCATATAAGATAGCAAGTAATTTGTTACAAATATCTATTTTTTTTAGAAAATTAATATAATTATTGTCAGTTATATAAAAAGCATTAAGAGCCAACAAATAAATAAAATACCTGTGTAAGATTTCTAATTTCTTCTTCACCCTGGTTTATATTAATTGGTTCAGTATCACTTTCTGAACCACTATCTATTTTGATAAATTCGGATAATATTGAATTTGATAGCTATTCTTGTCCCTCTCCAGTGTTTTGACAAATTTTTTTGAAAGAACTTTCTTTAGAATTATCATCTTGAAAATATTGAAACACAAAATAATCACTGATTTATTTTCAACTTCTAGTTAAAAATGCACACACAAACCTCTTTTTAATCTTTTTCTATATTTCTTTTCTTTGATATATTTCTTTTGAAAAATTTAATATCATTAATAGTACCAGAGTTATTCATCATAGAATTCTCTATAAATGTTGTTGAGTTATGAGGTTTATTGTAGATCTATCAATCATTCTGTTTGATTTGTGTCTGTTATTCCATCTTTTTGCTACTTGGCAATCTGGTCGATTGTTCTAGATAAAGGATTAAAAAATTATTAATTAAATTCATTCTAATGCATATTTATAATCTCTCACCCTGTCAGATCAGCTAACAACCTTGAACATCAGACAACCTAGCAAGTCATCTGTGTTCCAATGGGTTTAGTGTAGAGTCAGTTAACAACCTTAAACATCAGATAACCTACAAGTCGTCTATACCTTAGCACTGACTATAGCTTAGCTAACAACCTTGAATAATCAATAACCTAGCAAGTTCCTGTCACACCAATTTATTCATACAACTTTCTAAAAAAAAAAATACTTTCCTCTTTATATTTATCAAGAAAAATTTGAGCCTGTTCAGTCCTATTGCCTTTTTCGTGTTTAACTATATATTCAAGATTTTTGATATAATGATTTATCTTTAGTTCAAGTAATTCTTCTTTGCTTTCATCTAGAAATCTTTTATACTTCATTCTGAGAATTTACAATCTAAATATTCATGCATCATGTTTGTCAACAAAGATTTTGTTAGCCAATTCCTTTTATAGCATATATCACGTGATTCAGTATCCAATTGAGATTCGGATTTGAATTCAAGCATACAAATTTTCAATGACGGCCCATCATCAAAATCGCTACAAAATTTTGACACTCGAAAAATCTGAATTATTCCACATGAATTATATATACATGACATTGATATCAGTGGAGCTTGCATGACCAATACATTGAAATAAATTCAGAAATACACATGTAAAGTAATCAGCCAGGTTCAGCTTTATTGTTGCATTAATGAATAATCATGACAAAAATCAATTCGGAGAAAAAATATATTTATTCTTTATTGTTACAATAAAATATAAAGCACGCAGATGCCAGGTACATATATCAGAATAAAATACAGTTACGAAAAAATCTATCATTTATTTTTTTGAATACAACATTTTTTAATGCTCGTCACACATTGTAATCCTATTTCTTAATAACCCTACGATCAATCCAATTACTGTTTTTACACCTTTTCTGATTGAATTAATTCGACATTCGCTCTTGCTAGTACAATATAGCCCTTCCATAGCGAGCTTGATAAAATGTCATTCTGTAGCTAGAAAAAGATAATTTGAAAATATATAGCAAAATTTTTAGCGAATCAAGACAGGATGCTATTAACTTTGCTATACCTGTAGAGACTATTTCGTAAAGATAATCATCATCATTTCCAAATGCCTGCTTTGCGTCTCGTTTCCCTTTATTCATATGTCTCACGCTTTCTAGTTGTTTTATATTTTGGAGGTAACCGATTTCAACATTTCGTGGTTTTCCCTCTGCTATATATATAAGATCCTCATTTCCTTTTATTGAATAATCAACACATCCAGAGTTATCTTCGCTGGATACATCATCTTGGTATGCAATATATATTTTTTCATTGTTGGTGAGATTTCGAGTAATTGCGATTGATGCATTTAGAATAGATGTAATAAAAACACAGCAGATTGCTTCATTGGTACTATCTTGTATAGTCTCCAAATTCGAAAGCCTTAATATAATTTCTTTCATACACTGTTTGAGATCTTCATCATCATCACCGATTTCTTCGTAGACTGTAGGGGTGAAACCCCATTGTCACACAATAGAAATACATTTATATAAAAATATGTGTTTTAGATTTATTAGTAAGATCTCGTATTGAAACGTAAGGATCATCTGGGGATGAAGTAATGGTAAAAGGGTGTCATTGCAAATTAGTTATAGCGGGAATAACTTTATAACGGAAAGAAGGTTTATTAAATTTAATTTCAATAGCTCTTGACGGATGTGATATTACTTTTGTTATTCGAGTTTCTTGTCGAGCTCTAATTTCTCGTAAAATACGATCCAAGAAATAAATACTTCCAGATACCACGGTAAATCTCTAAGAACCATTTTCCTTCAGCAGTTTTCAAAACATCCATATCCGTGAAAATAAAGACAACATAAAGAATAAAGCTAAATGATGGGCATACCAAAAAGTTTTAAAGATTGAATACGCATTTTAGTATGCGCTGAAGTGCACATTAAAGCCATTAATAATAACATAATATGACTATGACTAGTTATTCCACCCCAAGTTGTATAATTGAATTGACCAAGCGGGTCTTATTCCTAATTGTTCTAATTTTCAGAAATTAATATAATGAGCAAAGGTGTGTATTAAAGTAAAGAAGAACTTAGCATAAGCAGCTTGACGATAAAACTAAAGATTTTCATCGAAATAGTTTTATTTAAAAATCTAAATGATCTATTAAATTTCTACAATCAGGTAATAAAATTAAAGCACCATCGTAAGCTTAACAAAGACCGGCTCCACCAGAAGTACAGACAGAAAGTCCAATGACATTTAAATTATCAAGTTCGCTATATGACTTCCGAAACAAAATATCCAAAAACTAAATGTTTTGGAACAAGTTCTCTTGTCATAAAAATTTTTTGTGCTTTGCATTTTGTTGTAAATTTTGTATACGTTAACCGAAAATATTTTTTAAGAAAACAAAATGAAATTTTTAAGAAAAAAAAATTTTTTTAATAAATGAAAATTTTAATAATTGAAATTTTTAATAAATAAAATGAAAATATAAGAAAAAAAAATATGAAATCTGACAAAACCAAACGCTGTAAACTATATCCATAAAAAAAAATCATTAATGAATTGCTTGTAAGAGAATAGTAATTATGCGCTCGAGAAACTTCACATACGTGAGATGTTGTTCTTCCTGAAAATAAGATAATGCTCGCCCATTTATCCAGTTGATGCTTTCCAATTTCCTCAAACGTCACAATAAAAAAAATACTAAGGCTTCTCTAAAAAAGAATGCTGAAATATATGACAGAAAATATATAACCTTGCAACCAATTAAGTCTAAAAAAACCGATAAAAATGACCCTACAAATCTCGTTATGAACATTATCGTGCCACTAATGTTAATTATAATTTGTTGATATTGGAACATTGATCAACACGTTTTGTATAAAAAGAAAGAGACGAAATTATGTCACATAATTTATGTGTGAAAATACCTAATGTAATTTCTGTTCCTCAAGTTGAGATTGCCTAACATTGCAGCTGCTCTAAACAAAAAATCCTTATAAGCATCATTTTTCAAAAAAAAAAATTTTAAATGAATTGTAAATTTCGAAAAAAATTCAAAAATTTTTATTGGCGGGAGCTTGATAACAATTTTGTTATCGGAAGAACTGCGAGCGAAACACGTTGTACAATTTTAAATTCACAAAAATACAGTAATTCTTTCTTTAAAATGTATTGTATGCCAAATTCAAGGCAGGTCCTAGTTGGATATTAATAGCTAAAATAATTTATTATCAATGAATAGGTCTATTTCGGGAATACATTCAGGACAAAAATACATTCAGGACAAAAAATACATTCAAGACAAAAATAGAAAGATTATCATTCCGAAAACCTTGTTTATTTTTAGATGAATCCAAAGATGCTTATGTGTATGGTATCATGTATGACAAATTATATAATAATTCATTCGTATTATTTGTTATGTTAATTTAACTATATTTCACCAGTAATATTAATTATTAGTTCAAATTAATTCAAGTAATATATTTATAAATTTTGGTTATACAAGCTCTCCAATGGAGTTTGAATTTTCCGTTCAAAAATAATGTAAATTTTTATTATTAAAAAAAATTCCCTCTTCTGTCTTAAATGACAGCATCTCATCGGGCCTTACGTTTAATTAAACCAGAAATATAATAGTTTGTAGGACACGTTACGATAATGAGAATTTACTTTTTCCATCAAATATGTTTTAATAATTCATTACATAAGTATTGACATTAGAATTTCTCGTTTACAGAATATTCGGATTATTCGTTGAATGTTTGAAAAGAATGACCTAGGCAATCTTTATTTTTTTTTTTATTTCTCGAGACATGAAATATTCATTTTTGACAATCTTTTTTATTTGAATTTTAAGTCGCTATCTGGCAATAAAATAAGCTTTTGTCCGTTACACATAATCTTCCCGAAATGGAATTTCTATGAAGTTAAGATGATTGATCGGCAAATTTTAAACCGATTACCAATTGGAAAACGATATCTTATAATAAACATGGCCACAAAAATTATCTTGTTTTAATTATGTATTATGTATTGTGTCAATAAATTTCTGATCATTTTATTTTTCTATCGAATCTATAAATACATTGTTTATTTGCCTTTCAAAATTTAACAAAATTCATTTTTTTTTTATTTTGTTAAAATGCTCACAGAATATCAAGCTGATGCTTTTACTGGTTTCATATGTGGAGCTGCTGTGATGGTAAGTTATCGCAACAAATATTTTGACATAAATATTTTTTAACTTACCATTTACTTTAAATTTAGATAACTTTTCATAATCTTATCATATCTATCATTTTATACAAAGCTCGTAAATCCAATGTTTCTAATATCAACAAAATTATCTTGAATCTAAGTATCATGTTACTTTTCATATTCAGATTTTCAGTTGTATATACACCCACCTGGATAGATTTACTTGGTTGCCAATTTTTATATTATATAGGATATATTGCATCATTTTTTTATAGAACAGCCTTAGCAATTTTTTTATTGTGGCGTTTAAGACAAATTGGAAATTCACAAATAGATAAATGGGCGAGCATCATCTTGTTCTCAATAAGAACAATAACTCACGTATGTAAAGTTACTCAAATATATTATTACTTTCTCTTACAATTTATTTATCCTTATTTTTTTTTTTTATGTATACAGCTTACATTATTTGGTTTTATCAGAGTATCTGTATTAACAATACCTGATCGAAATATTTGCTGGTCTGAATCAACCATACTATTAATACCAGAAACAATCATAGTAATCATAGACTTTTTGATTGATATATATATTACGGTTAGATTAGTACAAGTCCTTCGTATAGCTAACAAGAATGTAGTAGGTCTCAGAGCAAGTGGGGGTAGGAAAACAAAACGAACATTATTTACTGCAGTTATGTATTGGAATTTTGTTCGTTTGGCGGTAGCATTTGGACTAAATGTGATGACAGTTGTGGGCGTTGTTTCTACGTTTTCTGCGATTAATAATATTGGATTCACCCGTGATCAGCGTATTTCTGTGCTCTTTTTTAATACATTTTTCTCTATTCTACTGTCATATGTTGTGACTGTAGATGCTGAAATTGTCAAAGTAATCGAAGGTGAAAATCAAAATAAAAAAGGATCAAGTAAATCCACAAGTGAAAAATCGAGTTACCCTAGTTCCCACACAAATCGCGCGACTACTGGTTCAGCATCACTTCCAATATATAATACATCTGATACACCTACTTCACCTACTTCAAAAACAGATCATGATTTATCCATGAAAAGATTGTCATTCTTTGAATGGGCTAATATTATTTTGGGCTTTCGATCTGAAAAAAATCATGTGCAGGAATTTACCCAAGAGGAATTTGAAGAAATTATTGGAGGATCTTCAGAAGCTACCAATCGTGACCTCGAAAAAAAAGGCGAAGCTACTGATGATCCAAATCGCGACAGCAATATTAGTGGAGGATCAACAATATTCATTCCAGAATAATAACAAAGATAAAAAATTATTAGTAGAGGATCATCCCAAACAATTGACATTTGTACAATAATATTCATTTACACATAATGTAATTTAAAAAGGTTTTCAGTATTTTCCTTAAATTCTTGTATATTTATCCACTTTAAATTCTATTTATTACAGTATATAAGATAATGAAGGGTTGTACAATAAAAATCCGGTGATTTTTTTTATTTGTGATTTTTATTTTTAAT